ACTGGGTCACCATGCGCTAGGTAGGTAAAACCACGTGATTCAAAATACCCTAAAGAATAAATATGGTTCTGTTTCTATTATCATGCCACAAATATTTCATTTCACTTCCTTTGTAAAGCCCCTTCCACGATCTTATCGTACACTCAAGGTGTTGGACAATACAGCAAGCAACAGGTACAAATAAGACATAAAAGCATAAAACCTAATGAAAATGGCCACTTTACATACAGACAATGATGCCCCACTATAACATCTACTCTTGGAATACCAGGACATAAAAAATGTGTCCTCAAACGAGACTTAAAAACCAGCAGAGAAGGCGACTGGCGCACGACTAAAGGCGACTCATTCCATAGCCTTGGAGCCAACACCAAGAACGCACAAACCCCCCTGTGACTTGAAGGGTTAGGGCTAACCCTAACCCTGAAGGGCCTTCTACACTAAAGCTAGCACCTTCAATTTTGCCCTGAGGATCAACCAAATATTTGATGTTGGGAATCTGTTATGAACATGTTTAAACGTCTCTTTCACTCACCTTACAAAAAATCTAATAAATAAGTTTCCAGTCTGAGTGAATGCCTCGCAAGTCATTTTCTGTGTCAACAAAGCTCTCGTGTTGTTTCATGGTGTTGACGTTTGTCGATGAGGGGAGTGGAAAATGACAAGTTTACGAGTCTTAATCACTAATATTCAACAGCAATGCGACTCTTCTGCTGTTTTCTTTCACTCTTATTCTTGGGTAAAAAATACAATGTTGATTTTTCATCTCTACAAATAACACAAGCCCAAATGTTTTCCACCAAGCTGTGGAGTTGCTAGTGTAAATGGTTAGCGTCTACTAGCAAAATCAACACGTTTTTCCTGTGACGTAGAAAAGACCGCCTTTTTTTTCCTGACTGTTTCCCACCTCTTTCTGTTCTGAGGCCAATGCAACGTTCATATATGCAACTCAGAGTGACCAATCATATATGTATAAAAAATACATGTTTTTCTGTAAATAAGACCTTAAAATACCTAAAATGTTGAATGTTTTTAGGTCAAAGTGGTAGAACCATGGCTCTATGTGCTTGTTCTTGATAAATCCCCCTGAAGCAGCATCATTTAATGTAGTACAGACATGAGGAAGTAAAATAAGGTGCAGGATCAAAGCTGGTATGTTATCTGGTCCTACTGCACAGGCTGAGTATCTGGAATGTGTTTGAGTCTTTTTTTTTTAACTTTCGGTGCCTTTTTTCCACCTCCTGACGTCTCCTTTGTCTCGATGAGGCTACATTACAGAGGTTATCAACACCTGCACTAGTCATGCGAGGCAAACCGTCTGGCTGGCTGCAGATACACGAGGGTGATAGGTGCTGGAAAAAGCTGCCGTCAGGTCTTCAGATGAAACAAAAGCTGCTGTAGCGGTAGGATCATGCCATAAGCCTGACACATTTGGGTGAACAACCATGCATGATGCACATAACCAAACGTCAGGCATGTGCTGTAAGGGAATTGGATTAGCTGCCGGCAAAGAAAGGGGATTATAAATGATTCTGACTCTAAATGCGCTGCTAAAGAATGGATTACCAGCATTTTTTTTTTTTTATTTTTTTACCTCTGATGAATATTTGAATTACTTAGCAACAAAATTAGCCTTACTGTAGCAAGATCAACACAAATGAAAGTAATGAAAACACAGTCATGGTGAAAATAACATATAACCTCTTTCAGTTTTAGGGTTTTATGTAGCAAGGCATAATCAAAATAATCAACTGTACTGTTTAAATGTAGCCTCAGACATAACTAATTCTACAAATGTCCTTGTTTATTAAAAAGATGAAGTCAAAGTGGAAAGACTGAACATGAACTTTAACCTTTTGGATTCCTGTTAAGTCTGGTATGGTGCTTTTGGGCTTTTCACAATTCCTATGAGCGTTGCATGGTTTGACCTTGGAGTAAATTTGGAAGACTGGTAGCCAAGTAAGTGTTTTCCACTTCAGAATAGAAGAATGATTACCTCCAATGTGCTGTTTCCCCTTTCCATGTCGATGGTCTTTCCTCCTTTGTGTTGTGTTACACACACCTGTATGCTCCAGACGAGCCAACAGCCAAAACGTCTTCTTTTATAGAGGCGGTCTACCTAATCAATACATCTCGATAGCAGCAGCTGGCTGCTATTTCCCTCTTAAATCCCGAGCACACTAAACTTCTCACACACCGATTTTCCAGTTTGGCTCTGCTATCGTTCTCGGAGTGATTTTTTTATTAGATAGAGAACTAAATCACAAACATACGGCTAAAATGACTTTGCTAAATGCACAAATATGTGGGCAAACCACCTACCGGCTTCTTTTTACATTTCATTGAATTGACTACAAAAGAGGGCTTTATGTAACCACTTTTCAAATGGATCATAATCTAGTTGCTAATAACTCTGCGGTAGCCTTTATATTCAGTGATTTTGTACCACAGACATCCAATCCACCTTCTACCAGCGTTACGTCTGTCGGCTCTGATTGGCAGCGGTGGCTAAATGCCATAAATGGTCACAGTAACAGGCCATACAACATAGACATGCGTAATATTGTGGAGCGAGCCTCAAAAGACAGTGTCCACGCAGTGTTTTAGAAATACATAAATGAGCTGGCACTATTTTCCACTTGTATTTGTGTGGGTGGAGGGCTGAAAAATACTGCCCTGCGTTTGTGCTGCAATCTGCTGAGGCCAGTCGGCCGAATGGCTGGCTATGCATATAAGCACCAAAATGACACATCAACTCTAGTCTATATTTAACTCACTGGATCTCCTTCCAATGTTCCCATCCTTTGAGAGGAGGCTGCCAGGGAGCATGGTGAGAAAAGCAGGCTGAGGTGATATGTAATTACGCTGAATTGATCCAGCCTCCCACATCCCTTCATCATACCCACACACTCTGAGATAATGAAATGGAAGGAGGGCTTCTTCTCTTTTCTTTCCTGTTTACAAAAAATCTTTTAGGAGCAGTCATTTTTACTTCAGGTGTCAAAGGAAACCCTTTACTGTTTGAAGTCACAGAATAAGCTCACACTTGATTAGGTTTGCAGGCATGGACGTAATTTTCACTTTAGAAGTGGGGGGACACGGGTGTGTGTGTGTGTGTGGGGGGGGGGTATCTTTACAGTATGCTCTAATGGGAAACAGGCTTCAACACAAACAGTTGTTTTCCGCTTGGTCCTAGAGCTCAACCAGTGTCAATTTAATATAGCGTAATATTGTTTTTGGATGGTAAAAAGTGCAGGGGTCAAAACTTGACTTTGGAAAAAGTGGGGGGGGACATGTCCCCCCTGACTCCCCCCCCCAAATTACATCCATGTTTGCAGGGATTAACCGGTTTGACTAATAACCGCGGAGTGAAACGCTGCCGTTAATCCACCATTAAAACGTCTCCAACACCAAAGGAACAAAAATAAGAAAATAGCGCGCAACCCGCACAAACAAAAAAGGAAAGGGAAACTGAAACAGACGCACATGGCGGAAGCTGACCCAGCAGCGAAAGCTACCAGGACCACTCCATTTCCACATAGGAAGATTTTAAGTCTCCTGTGTGGGAATATTTTAGATTCCCAAATATGCCAAAGGAAACATTCAGGACAATGTCTCGTCCATCTGCAGAGCTGGCAGAAAGAAACGTTATAGACACCCCAACGGCGTTTCATCATCTCTCAGATCATCAGGCGGACAAAAAAGCTCCACTTGAGTCAGATTATGTTAGTGACTGAAGGGATTTAACAATAATACTAGAACAAACCAGTGAACGCGGGTTCCGTTAGTAATGTTGTACTAAGTTTCCCCTCTATGTGTCTCTAACAGCTTGTACGGCAAGCCATTTTAGCATTTAATCAAAAACACCTCTTTATAATTCCTGTTTTACATAGAAAATTATAAATTTGCCTGGTCCAAATAATACAAACTTCTCAGTGGCCTAGTGGTAGAGTGTCTTCCCTGGGACTGGGAGGCCGGGGTTCAAATCCAGTTGAGTCATACCAAAGACTTTAAAAATGGGACCCACTGCCTTCCCGCTTGACACCAAGCTTTAAGAGGTTGGATTGGGGGTTAAACCACCAAACTATTCCCGAGCACGGCCACTTCTGCAGCTCACCGCTCCCCACGGGGATGGGTCAAATTCACCAGTGTGTGATAATGACTGATGAGACTTTAACTTGAAATTCTCACTAGTCAACTTTGAAAAGAAAGATATGAACAAGTAGAAATTATATTTATGGATATTCACTAATTGCTCTAGTAGGAATTTAGCATCTCATTTCATTAAGGTGTCTCCATCCTTGTTCAAAATAAGTTATATGGCCGATCTAATGACGGGTATTTTAAAAGTTCTAAACTGCAATTTAAAAATTACAGAGATTATTTTGATTTTACAAATGAATGTTTCTAAGCAGACCTCTTCTGGAGTCCAAAACCTTTATAGAATGTAATCGTGAACTTAATCAATACTTTATAGAATGTGTTTATGTGATTTATACATGTTTATACAATGTGAAAACAATTCACGTATAATAACCGTGGTAATTGTGAAACCGTGATAATTTTTCAGACATTATTCGTTCAGCAAAATTTATAATCGTTGCAACACTACACCCGATGTTTGTGGCAACCTCATACCGATGAGGGCTTCTCCAGAAACCAGCTCTTGTTCTCTTCAGAGGATGTGGTAAAAACTTATGAACCAGAGCATATCCGAGTTCTCCACTTCTTACACAGTAGACGGATTTTCTCTTGAATCTAGAGAAGTGACTTTTTCTTCTTCTTTTTTTTAAATCATACTATGTTGTACAGAAAGAGTGTATGAGGTGAAAACCAGGACAAACGCAAAGACATCACATTTTCAAAGACCTTGTGAAGAAGCTCTTACTTATGGAATGAAGAAAAGTCTCTACTAAGGAAATGAAAGTAAAACGAAGCAAACTTGTTTTATGTAACGTGGCCCAATGTTGTAAAGTGATTACTGCCAAGTGCCAACTCACCTGTTCTTTTCCAGCTCATTATGCGTTGACCTGTAAAGGAAAAAGAAAAAAAAAACACAAGATGTCAAAACAAGCCTGGTGTGTCTTGCTGAAAAATTCAAAACACATTACTGGAAATGAGTAGCAAATCTAGACAAATACAGGCTCAGGGATGCTTGGTGAAAACCAGTATGAAACCAGCAAACTGGTGACGTCCCATTGACAAATGTTCAAATGACATCCAGACATGCTACTTGGCGTAACACAGCCTCTTCCTCAATAATGCACAACAGAGCTCTGGGAGGATGTGTGTGACTTATGCCCAAGCTGAGTACAGTAAAACAGGATCTATGTGTGTGCACATGCATTCACTCACACACACACACACACACACACACACACACACACACACACACACACACACACACACACCCAGAGTTCAGTGTTCCGTTAATAATGTAAAGTGAATCAGCTGGTCCCTGAGAGTGTCTTTGTATGGCAACAAACGGAAGGGAGACAAGCCCTCCTCCTGATTCCTAAATGGCCAAGTGCCATTCTAAATAAACTGCCTCAAACTGGGTGAGGCACGAGGTTCGAAGAATCACTTCCCTGTCACCGCCACAATAAACCTTCCTAATTTTCTTTTACCTGTTAAATGTATTTTAATGATCTAGAGTCCTGCAATGGGATTGGGATCCCAAGAGACCTGAAGCAAATCTGGTGGGAGCGGGCAGAAGATGGAGAAAAGTAACTGAGGTAGCTAATGGAGAATGAAGGAAAGAAAGGGAAATTAGATATATGGGAAAACTTTCTAATTGTTACAGACAACATAAGTGTGCCATGGTAAAAATAACTGAACACCGTCAGGCAGCTTCGCTTGAAGACCTGATTGGACCCCTTCTTGATGTACAGAACCACAACCCAAACAGACGCTTGCTGCAGATGCAGAGGTCTGTTGCGAGACGGCGTGAATAAAGGCGTGTATGATAGAAGTTTCATCAAGTCTACCTAGTAAAAGAAGAAACCAAAACATGTTTCTGTTTTCACCACGCCTCGTTTGCATCCAGAGTAATTAATTTATTCTAAAATTAATAATAAAAAAAACTTGTAAATTCCACACATCAACTACAAAAGCCTCCTCTGTTCATGCGGTTGGACGTGAGAGGTTGCATGCCAGGAGCATCCGTTGTAATACTTTTTTTCATTACAGATGAAAACATCTATGGACAGGCTGAGTAGCTGCCATCACAGCAGCTCTCACATATGCTGGCACAGGCTATTTCCTGAAACTCAATGAGTATGTAAGTGCTCACATGTGTGCTTTTGATTGGGTTCAACTTACACACTCGACATCCATGTAGTGCTCACAAACGGCTGTGCACTACGACATCCGCACTGAAATCACAGTGATCGAAACTAAAAGCTAAATTCATTTTGCACACTCCTTGTAACAAAATAATCATAGTTTCTTCATTTGCGGTGGGGCTGTTGATGTCCACATCTGTGTGTGAGTCAGAACAAGTGTTTCGCCAAACGGAACATGAATAAATAATTTGCATAATTTGCGTCAGTAGCTGTCATAATGCCTGCTACTGCATCTGTGTTGCTAAGTAACTCACATCCTACTTTGGACTCCAGTCCTAGTCACTTATTCTTTTTTACCAAAATGTGTTTTTGTTTTCCTTCAGAAGGACAGAAAGAAAGGTTTACAGTATAATTACAGTCATGGCTGCAGCTGCAGCCGTGTGCAACGATTGTAGCAAACTTTTAAAGCAGTCAAGAAAATTACATCTAACCAAAAACAAGAAACAACGTTAGAATTAATATCTACCGTACAGATGTAGTTGTCTATTCTGTTCAGCAAGTGTTAGGAAAAGCATTTAAAGGTGTGGTTCACTCGTTGAATCAATACATTTGCAGTGATTTCTAGTAGGACTGAATAGAGAGCCTAAGTCTCCTCCCTTTCCGGTCGGCTCATGGGTCCCCGGAAGAACGCAAAAATGAATGCAAGTCAACAGGGCTAAAAATGCTATTTTCTTATCTGCTTTGCCTTTCGCCCTGGATCACACAAGCTGTTTTTACAGGACCATGGCGTTTGCAAAACGGGATTTGCCGCGGTTCCCTGAGGAGGATAAAGGTCGTTTATAAGATCAGACCGTGGCGGTAATGTGGCGCAATCGCAATTTTATATAAGATTAGGTGATGGCGGCATAAAGGGGGTATGGGGGCGGTCTCTGTGCTGCTGAAGACTTCCGTTTATCTTGGACATAACTTGCTTTTTATTGCGATTGAAGCCGTGATCGTTAAGTTTTTTTAACAAGCAGCTCCTAAAGGTGTCTGTCCCCATCAGTCCCTGTGCAGTCTCTGGTGATCTGAGCTTCAGCTCCAACAGAGAGGCTCGTGGAGCGCTGCAGCGCTCCAGTCTGCCATCTTAGCTGAGTTTGTTCAAAAAGCAAAACTTATTGCCTGTGTTTACTTTCAATTTCAATAAATTTGCCAGCCGCAGCTCAGCAATAGCTCCCCACGTCATCATGATATCTGCCTCTGTTGCGCCAGGGCGCATACGACAGACCATTACCGCAATATCACTACCAAGTGATGCGGAACGAATGCCGCAAAATTCGCGGAACGCCATGCCGGCATGGCGCGTTTATAGACATAACGTTGGCGGTAATATTACGCCGATTTGCCGGCATGGTCTGTCTTATAAAAGCACCTACATATGATGTAATGCAATTTAAATGAAAACTAATGACGGGTGGTTCGGCCACGCCTGTCACATACTTTGAGATTTATCAGCTTTTAAAAGTTCGTAATTAGCATGACTACACTGGCATGTTGCATACGTGACGTCATCACATAATCTCCTCTCCTCTAGCGTAGCCGCTACTTACCAAATTACCAGATTTATGGTGGTTCTTTCCGCCTGTGGGAAGTTTGCAGAACTTTTCCCTCAGTTTTCTCCGTGTCTGGTTCAATGATGTCACTTTCGTGAAGCGCATTTGTAGTCCTGGACTTATTTTCATACAAAACCTAAAATAATGTTTCCCCGCTGTTCGAAAATAAGCACGTTCTTGGTATCAAAATGGGTCTTTAAAATTCACGGACATCATATGTGAAATCCATGGCACAAAACAAGCGGAATTAGAAAATAGCGTTTTTAGCCCCTTTGACTTGCATTCATATTGTGTGTGTGTGTGTGTGTGCGTGTGTGCGTGCGTGCGTGCGTGCGTGTGTGTGTGTGTGTGTGTGTGTGTGTGTCTGCTCTGTCTTCTCCATCCCCAGTGAGTCGTGGAGGATGGCTGCTTATACTGAGCCCGGATTCTCTGGAGGTTTCTTCCTGTTAAAAGGGAGTTTTCCTCTCCACTGTCGCTTTATGCTTGCTTAGTATGAGGATTGCTGTAAAGTCACTGACACTAGTCAGTGACTTGATGCAATTTGCTGGGTTCCTTATATTGGAAACATTTTTTCTGTTTGGCTTAATGAACTGACCTGAATTGGAATGTTTATTATGTGAAGTGCCTTGAGATGACTCTTGTCGTGATTTGGTGCTATATAAATAAACTTGAATTGAATTGTTATTCTGCTTTACTAAGGAGGTATATTGGCCCAGCATAAATCGGTCTATCTCTAGAAGCGACCCACATCGCAGCTGAGCTTCAGATGGTGGGTTTTGGAGACTTATTTTCTGATATTTGGACATCTTGCCCCGATTGGAAAACATCAACGCGACTCTACCACTGGTTCAGTTTGCTCTGCAACGTTGAAGTTTTATCTCCACAAATAACACAAGTCTGGAGGAGTTTTGCCGTGTGGTGGAGATGCTAAAGCTAACGGTTAGCTTCTACTAATCGAGACGTTCTCTGTTGATTCCTGGATGCTACAACAGCCTTCCCTGTCAGGAGCCAAGATGGGTGAGTCCATGAATGTTAAATGACAGGGTGACGTAGATCTCTCAGGCTTTTCTAATCCTAGAGTTTCACCAGGTGTAAGAGACTATTTTCATGTTTAGCCTGCCAGAGAAACTCAGAGTGACCTATTATGATAATTAAAAGTTTTTTTTCAGTGTCTTGCTCCTTAAAAACCAAGCAACTGACTTCTTGCATTGACTAATAATCTGTGTTCGATTATCATTTACTCATTTTTTATGACCACAACCTTTTTCTTTGTCTCTTAAATCAAACATCAGCATGTTTACAGTTTGACAACAAAGCAATTTAGATTATAAACTGGCTCAAGGCCAGACATAACAGCATCCAGCTTTCTCTTGCGGTCATGGAAGAGTATGTGTGTGTGTTTGAACGCACACACACGCGCGCGCGCACACACACACACACACACACAGTGAGAGACTGGGTCAATGAGATAAAGCATCCCTGCTATAAACGGTAGGCAGGAGGACGGAGTCAGATAAGCCCTTTAAGCTTCGACATATTAAAGAGGAGGCAGCTATAACTGGAGCAGGACAGCCACAGAGAACATAGTGTGTATGAATGATACTTTAATGTCTTGTCAAAGTTATTAGAAATCATTTATTTTCATAATCTCAAAGAAAAAAAAGCTAAAAGTACATTGGAAAGAACTTCATTGTGTTTATACCGTAAATCCTCTAATACAGGCCCGGGCCTTTATTTTACTCAAGCTCATCAAGCCCCAGGCCTTTATTGGAAGGAGGACCAGAATTAGAGGCAGGCCTCAATTTCTAATTGAGCAAAATGAACTAATGGTTCGCTGGAGTTTTTGACAATTAAAAATTGCGCCCACATTTTCAAAGTTAAACACATTTCTTTTAACAACGGTAGTTTCTGCTTCAGCCCTCTCCCCCCTCCCCCTGCGCAGCGGCCGCAAACTCACTGATGTGCCTGCAGCCTCTCGGAGTTCCTGCTGCTCTAAACATTAAAATAATTATTTCATTTTCTGTTCCTCACTTCTGATTACCTTCCATGGTGTCTGTTTGTTGCAACCAGCAGGTACAAAAACTAACTTGTTTTTATTTGACTATTTTTCTGTCCTGTCTCTGTTTATTATCTTCTTGCATCTCCTCTCAATCCTAAAGAGAAACTGCTACCTGGGTTCTTATATATTCACCTTATGAGTTACTTTTGAACTGCAGTTCTAAAAGATCTACCGACCGCAAAAACAGCGGAGTGCTCGCTGCTTGCCGGCCACATCACGTCACCAAGGACAAAACAGGTGATGTGCCCCGATCCACAGCAGCGAAATGCATCAGGCACAAATAAAAGAATAAAAAAACAAAAACATAAAAGGAAACGAGCCGACATGAACGATCGTGTGTTAAATTAGTTTTTGAGGTGGCGACACCTGAGGGGAAGGTTAAATTGCAAGAGGGTAAACGTCACAATTTGGTTAAATGTCCGTTTTACGGCGGGTGTCAGTACCGACGCTCTGGCACAGCGCGTTGCCTCCCGACGTGCAGGAGCTTGTCACCTGCTGACAGCAGGCTGCTGTCTTTTCCGAGGGCTGCATCTTGCCGGTCATTATCACGTGACAGCGACTAGTCGATGACAGGCATAACAAGTCACTATAGGGCAGTGAAGACGACTAGTGACTAGTTCATACAACCCCTGCTACTGCTCCCCAGAGTGTTCTGCAGCATAATCAGCACGTTCTCTTTGAACTTGATATCAAATTTTCGCCTCCTCTTCGTCTCCGCACGGTTAAAGTTACCCTCGCGGTCTATCACAGGCAAATTAAAACTGAGACGGATGACACAACCGTCCCCCGTACTTGCTTGTTACCACATTCCACCCGACCACAATAAAAAAACGGCCATTATTCACCTCCGCCGACTCCGACACCGGCCAAAATATGATACCCGGCCGTTAATTGAATACAGGCTAATATTAGAGGATTTACGGCAAATGAGAAATAAAACAGCGGTTTGATAAAATGCCTCAAAACATAACTTCTGTGTTTATCATCAAATAAACACACACACACACACTACTGAGCTACTCAGTCAGCTCAATAACCAATCAATACCAAAATTTAGATTACTAACATTGACCCTCTTTTATTTTGTTTTGCAAAATGTTTTAGTAGATGCCGAGTCTTACATAGCATCTTGTGATCTGAATCAGCAGAATTTGTGACTTATTTTACCTTCCAGTGGTCATAATGTTATGGCTGCACAAAACATAGATGGTAAACAAAAAAAAAACTCTCTGACATTTAAAGTGAGATCCAAACAATGTTGTTTTTTTAGGTGTGGGAAAGTTGGAATATACGTGGAGCTTTTAGAGGGTGTTACAGGCCAAATGTGTACAATTATAGGGTGAGTTGTGAACATACCGAGACAAGAACAACATCAAAGTTGTTCCAGCTCAGCCACTTGGTTTTGTGTGTGTTAGGAAGATCTAAAAGGACGAACCCTACAGGAGTGCCTCTTGCAGTCATTTTGAAGCATATTTCTGTGTTTTAAACAATTACAATCTTACTTCGGTCCTGAATGGTTTCAGTTTGAAGAAATTTAGTGTAAACAGGACTGACAAGCTAACGGCTAGTCTGCCATCAGCCGTAAATACTGCTTCAGTCTCCTAAATTTCATACTAGTTCACGCTATGTTATTTTCTAAATCTTTACTTTAGGTTTAGTTTCATGTGTAAAGACGGGTCCACACTGGAAGCATCAGCGGAGCGGAATGGCAGCAGAACGTTGCGTCGAACATTTCAGAAGCAGCTCGCCGCGTCGCTTAAGATAGGATTGGGTAAGATTTTTGCCGCAAGGCTCTTCTAGGGCACATCAATTTCCGCTGTTAACATATGACTACACAGGAAATCACATACGGTTTCAGTGTAAAATGTCAGGTAAGTTTCAAACTAAAAGACTATTGCAGAGATGTGATTCTTATCTACTGTATGTAGATTACATAAAAACACGTGACCTAATGGCTTATTTACTCCTACCATCTTTCGAGAAGCGCAGCAATGTGTTTTTCATGGCTTTAATCCTGGCAGTGGAGGCACAACATTATATATGACATCAAACGTGATATCATTTGGTTCCGCGACTGAGACGCCCCCGTGTGAACTGACGCACTGCAAAGCACGCAAGAAAACTGTCCCGTTGCCAGTCCGCGCCGCTGAGGCCCCCAATGTGGACCTGGCATAACTCTGTGGTTATATGAAAGCATAAATATGACCAGCAGATAGAAAATGGTAAAGTCCAGCAGGAATCTCTGAATGTTTCTGCCCGACAACAAATGAGTGAAAAGACAGTTTGGTAACTGGAACTGTTTTAAGATTGTACCAAATCACTTAGGACAGTGGTGTCTAATTCTGGTCCTCAAGAGCCACCGTCCAGAATATTTTATAGGTTTCAGCTTCAGTACATCTGATTATAATCTTTGGGTGTTTGACAGGGTTTTGCATAGCTTCATGATCTACTGAACAGATGATTTAACCATTCAACCAGGTATGTTAGAGCAAGGAAACAACTAAAACACGCTAGATGGGGGGCCCTCAAGGACCAAGATTGGACACAAACCATGCAAATAATCTATTAAGATCATCATTTCAGATCTGAGTGCACATCCCAAGTCTGGTAAAACAGCTCCAATTGCCTAATTTTCATGGACATTTATGCAAATCTTATTTTGTAGGCCGTCAACAATGATGTCTGTTTCACTTTACTAGGTTGTTTTAGTACAAATATTCAAGTATTTCTGCTAAACTTGACTCCTGGATAAACCAGAAGTACTCCAATTTCCTGCTGCTGGTAAATTTTGCATCTTAAATAATCCTAATTCACTATTAATGACAATGTAAGCCAAATCTGAAGACAATGTAAAGGTTTTAGGTTTATAAAATAATGCTGCAGAGACTGCTATAAATCTTTGGACGGTAGTGAGGTTTTAAGATGTCAGCAAGACGGAGTCAATTCAGGTAATAGTACTTAACGATCATTTTTATACAGTAACACACTATATATTATTTTGAAGCAACAAAAATACGGACACTGACTTTCAGTTCATCTGATCATGACTGTTGCCGTGCAGATCGAGGCAACATTCAGGCCGCATGATGAGTAACAAGCAGTTCCTGTTAGTGGCCTTTTTTAATATTTATATTAAAATAGAAAAAGAGGGGAGCTTGTGCGTGATGTGTGGCTGTCAACAGCACAACATCAGAAGAAATCCCATCTTCAGTGGGCCTTCACATCATTTAGACGACGAGTTCCTCTAAATGACAATATTGTGTTGTGACATGTCAGTTAAACCCAAAGTGTGTGGAATTATTCACATTTATAAAATTAATTGTTTTATGTCAGTTAAGTGTAAAATATAAGACCTGTGCCTGGGCAGTCAGCTGATCAAATCATGTCTATGAGACACATTTGATCAAAGCTTTTAGCTCTAATAAAGCAATCTGAAGGGTGGAAATGCTCCCAGGCAGCATTTAGTAACAGCTCATGTGTTTACCAAGCGCGTTGGCAGCAATCACATGTTGTCTGTGGTTCACTCATCCCACAAACAGAGGTGTAAAAAGGCTGTTTAATAAGAGACGCCTATAATTAGAAATAAATATATTTATAAAGGCGCTCGTATTTAAAAAATGATTGCTTTATGTGGATCAGCAGACAGGAGAGGTTTCTTACCTGTTATGGTTACTGCTGAACTTCTTATTTCGGAATTTTCTCTGCCTCTGGAAGTTTGTGCTCTGATTAGAAGGAAACGTCGAAGCATATCCGTGTTCGCACTCTGTGGAAAGATAATTCCGGTGGTGAGACATGAGCGGTTTTTAATCCTTTTGTACAAAAAAAGGTTGACACCTGCGTGGATAAATTGCGTCCAGATGGCGGATGACGTGTTTTATACATTATTCTTCCCTTTAACAAGCTTGTTAATTATTTGTTAGACAGCAAATTTAAAAATTAACACCCATAATTACCTCTTTCTCTCCTTTCTAGATATTCCGCTGCCTCCAGTAACCGTTGGATGTTTATTAGCTGAACAGCAGTCATGATTCTTCCCTTAGGCTTTCTTTCGTCAACGTTGTTTTTAGTCTGCGGTAAACGTTGGTTTTTCTTCTTACAGTAAAAATAAGTAGCCGCTATTATGTGCAATAGAAAAAAAGATCATGCACCGGTTCACTGGATGAAAAACGACGTGTTATTATCGCGGTTACCGCCTTTACTAGCTCAGCATTTGTCGAAAATGGAGCAAAAAGTCCGGTGTTTTTTCAGCTAGCAAGCTATAGCCGATTGTTTAAGTCAATGTTGTTATAAAATCTATTTTTAAAAATCCGCGTATCAAAGTGTCATTTTTGTAGGAATCGGCATATCAAATTTTTTACAAAAATAAATAATCATTAAAAAAAATCCCCTAGGGGCCGAGAGACAGTAACGTGCCTGCCGCTGCTCGCTTCCTCTGCTCTGCTGTTTGTTTACCTAGCTGCTCAGCTGGGGGGGCGGGAATCAAGTTGAGGAGGAAAGGCCAGTTTAAACGCGGTGCATTCTGGGAAATGAAGTATTACTGTGCATTTGAAAAACGCTGCTTAACCTAACGGGCATTTTGTTTTATGCTTTTTGCATTCTAGTTCGCCTTCTGTCAAATAAAAACACTCCGGAAAATTGTTCAGGCAGACTAAAACAAACTTGTAAAAGAGTTTAACTGGACAGTTTCTTCTTAAAAGTAAAAAAAGTAACATGATTTAGACAATAAACAGTTACTGGTCATACTAATTAAATAAAATGAGTTAATAAAAAAGCGACATGTGCTGTTATTTCATGTGGTAATTGTTTCACATATTCATTTCAATCTAACGAGCAGAATGTTGTGTAACCTACAAGTCCCAGGATTCATAGGACCGTGGGAGGACTTTTTCCCACTAAAGCCAGGCCCAGCAACACATGACGTAGAAAACATGCTGGCGTCTGATTGGTGGAAGTCCTTGACAGAAGTCGAGGGCCGAGCCAGCGTATGGCCTATCACCGCCTATCACAGAAAGGATTTACGCCATGTGGAAACCACTTCAACACGCCCCCAAATAGCAGGAAGCAAACAAGTGAGAGGAGAGCTGTCTCCTGCGGACTGAAGAAAATCCACCCGAAAAGACACAAAATTACATATAAGTAGCTTGATTAGGACGTGTCCATTAACGTTATCAATACGTGTGCTCTAAAACCCAACAAGGAACGAGCTGTCGCGCGTGACAATAATTAATAGCCTAAAGAGATGTTACAACTGATTGTGGAGAAAAACGAAACTATGGCCTACATGTCATCGCCAAAAACACTCATAACGTATTTATTATCGTAAAATTCCGCTCATGAGCAGGTAATATAATATTTAACACATGTTTATGTTTTATGAACGTGAGATTTAATATTCAACTTTGGCCAATGCGCCTTTTCTACAAAGTTTTCAATTTATTTTTTCTTTCCATCGAGCCTGCGGGGGCACAACAATGACATCATCCAAAAATGAGCATCAGGACGCCGCAATGTGATCAGATTTTGTTATAAAGGAACGGCTGCAGCCAAAAATTCAGGTCAAATCATCAGGTTTAATCTGATATGCTGGGTAAATGGCTGATTCCTGCTTGGAGAGTTGTGAAGGAGGGAAAAAAGACGCAACACTAAAACGTGTATGAAAATAGCAGATAAATAAGAAGTATCGTCTTCCCTAAAATGCAAAAGAGTAAATATGTCCTTCCACATGCTGTTTTTTCTGTACGCAGTGGTGCTTATTGGATGAACTCAGCCCTTTGTTGTCTGAGACCGTTGACAATGAACTCCTTTTTTCCTGTTATTCTGATGTAAGATGTAGAGGATCAAACGCAGCACACACAAACTCACTTCCGTCCTTGCGCTCGGCGCTCTCCAAAAACCTCGCAGCCTCCAGCAAAACTTGTACATTTTTCAGAAAAGTGTTGATCTCCTCCATGTGGGAGTCGTTGGAGTTGAAGACGTCATTGAAAGGATAGCTAGACATCTCGAAATCCTGCTGGCCCAAAAGAGACGCATCGGAATCAAGAAAGAACTCATTCTCCAAACTTCTTCTCTGGCTCTCACTTTTGGCCATTTTTCAAATTGTTTTCCTCTCAAGTTTCCGGTGACGTGCAGAGCGCAGCAACAACAATTAAAGCAGCTACCAGTGATGCTGCTGCTGGTTGATGGTTTCTCGTTTCTTCCTTTTCTTTTTGTAATGAATGCAGGGTGTTTAATGTGGAGCTGTGGCCAATGTCAGTGGATGCTGCTGCATGGGAAAACTGGAGTCCAGCCCCTCAGAGTCTCAAGAGTCTGCATGGTCCCTGTGCCCGCCCATTTTCAATAAAGACAAAAATAATCCTTTCAAAATCTCAGCATCACAATTTAACTTTGCGTTAAAAGACATTTTACTCTATAGGCTGTTAAAAAATAAATTTGGTTTAAGAAGCAGGATTGAAAAGCAAAGAAAACATTATTACTAATAGTGTTATTATTATTATTATTATTATTATTATTATTAGTGATGCACCGATATGAATTTTTTTGGGCCGATGCCGATATCCGATATAAAGATCACTGTTACGGCCGATAATCGATATTTGCCGATACCGATATACTGACATTACTGCTTCTAAAATCAGCAGATTTTGTACAGAATGAAAATTATTAAAGCTGAATTTACGTTATTGTGTACACGCACCACACACATTTACGTTTCTGAGATGATTTCATTCAGTGTTCACATGACTAAACAATCACACATATCCCCCTCACCCTCTGAAACAGGCAAACAAATGGAGACAAGATGGAAAAAATATCAGTTGTTAATATCGGCTCGATTTTAAATATCAGACCGATACCGATATGTTAAAAAATGACTAATATCGGCCAATACTGATATTGATGCCGATATATTGTCCATCCCTAATTATTATTATTGTTGTTGTACATTATGTATTTTGTTTGCAGATATCTTCCACTAAATAATAATTTAGCAAAAGAAAAACATTAAAACCTAATTAGATTAAATTAATTTATCATTAGTATGAAAATGTCTCTGTAAACTCACTACAAATACTTTGCTTTTGCAGTAAAGTAATTCTAATTCTGGAAGTGTCTTACTTGCAACAAACAAACAAAAAATAATTTTTGGTTTGCTCATCTCCAAATTATCCAATTCCACAAAGGCATGCAAAACTTTTAATTAAAATATATATTTTTTATGAGGCAAGCAAAACTTAAAGGTGTGGGAAACTCATTAATTAATAGATGTGCAGTGTTCTCTGGTAGGAATTAATGCCTTGCAAGCCGTACTCGAGGCAAAAAAAGCCCAGAATTGCTGCAGCAAAGAATAGCAGCAGTGATTTGAGCAAGATTAGGAATGTTTCAACTATCAGAACTTGCAGATAATTTTACCATGTACGTTAACGGTACGTGCATGTCTGCATTTCATCAGGCCGACTCAAAAGGACCACTTTCTGGGCCATTTCAGAGACCAACCAGAGTTGCTATGTGAAGGACTTGTGGTTAACTCATGCATCATCTTCAGTTTTGCATTCTATGTTTATTTCAACTGAAATATCAACAAACTGTTGTCAGACATGACCTCTGGATACAGCAGAGGTGATGCATTTTGCACGGTTCCATACAATACCTGTGCAATGATTAAAAGGTCAATAAAATATTATTGCTGTGAAATTTGGTTTCGATGCACTCACCCACTCTTATTTCTCTGAACAGAGGTCATCCAGGAAAGTAATTATCTGTAATGTTTCTACAATAAATAAACAAATAATTCAAACTGGCCCAAAACTCTGCCATATTGTTTTTAGATTCTTTGATATTTTAGATAAAACAACAAAACTAGGATCATTTTTTTCCCATAAAAACACCCACAAGCCATGAAGGGTCAAGAACAAAGAGGATCCCAAAGCTGTGTGTGTAACATTTGAGTGCATCCACCTGATGAAACAGGCAACTCACAGATACACTCTCCGCCTTGATCTGGTGCCATTTCCGGTGAACCTTTTGATGAGCTGCTGCAGCAGAGTTCGTTTTGACAGAGAACGCGTTGAGGCAAAGGCCCGTGCTAAGTCCCATCAACCCCCTCACCAGCCTCCCCCCGCCCCCTTGCCACTTCAAAGAGCCAGCAGCAGCCAATATTCGTTTGATGTAAAGTTCAGAGAAACAGAAACTTTTAAGTCCGACACACGGGGGAATCTCTGAAGGTCCCTCCTTCTCCTGCCCCTTCACCTCTCCAACCTCAGAGAGGGGTAGCGGCAGAGGAAGGCAACCAGTTTGAGTTGGGAAGCCGCCAGGGCCATCACATGTCCAAGTGGGTGGATAAACACTTGGTTTGAGTCTCTTTCAGATCATAGCCCATATTTTCTAGATTCTAGGTTACTCAGTGAGGTCTTGCACGTTTCAGATCGCTTTTGCATTTTGCTGTTTTAATCTGCACATCTTGAGTTTCTTTCCTGCAGCTTGTTTTCTAAAAATGTAGGTCAGACAGGTCACGTGCTGCAGAAAAGGAGAAGTAAGGAACTCTGTAAAGCATGAGTCTTGTGTCCCAGTAGACAACTCTACCAGTGAGAAAGCAAAGATTTATGAGAGACTTAGAGTTATCGAGGTCCTACAGGCAAACCATTCCTCCCCACTCTGATTAAAGACCACCCCACTTTTCTTTACTTTGAAAGCAATGCCGGTGTCAAAAGAAACCACAGGGAGACAAGCTCAGAGCTCAGGAGAAGACGGATTTGGGGTTTAAAG